TTTCCACCCCACGTGCCCCATTTCCATCCATCCAGTTTCCCTGCCCTCCTGGCTTCTCGTTTTAGCTTTTGTGTACCTGTTGACTGTTTGGTCTGGTATAGTTGATTGTTTAAAGGAGCATATTTCCTATTGCTGAAAAGTGACCTTCAGGCGTGGCTTCAGTTCCAGGTTAAAAGCTGGAACTTTGTGTTTTTCTCTTTGCAAAAGATTACATGTGTTTCTCTTTGCAAAATAAGTCATTTGGAAACTGATGAGCAGGTCAGTCTTTCTTTCTTTTTTAAAGAATGATAATCTTAGGGTTTTCTCTAGTCTCTCTTAGTCCAGTAACTATGGTCCTTTTAATGAACTTGCATTTTGTTCTATATTTTTCTCCATTCCAGCTGGGACCTTTTACTGTGTGCCTGGTCAGAGTGGCCAGTAGTGGTAGCCCTTAGTCCTGTGGACTAAATTTATTCCTTGAGTCTTTGGTTTCCTTCACTCACCTTTGCTCCAGACGGGAAGAGACTAATAGTTGTATCTTAAATGGCCGTTACGAGCTTTTAAGACCTCGGATGCTACTCACCAAACTAGTATGTAGAATATTATATATAATAATTTTTATTAACAACAAAAGGGGCTTGATTGAGTTTGTTTCCCTGAAGTGGAACACTATATTGCAATTAAATATTATGTTTACAAAGCTTTTAATGAAATGGAACATTGCCTATATTGTAATAAGTGAGAAAATCAGAAAGCAGCATTAAGAATCATTTCAACTGTTTTCTAAAAAGTAGAGTGTTGAGAGGAAGGAAATACAGCAAAACATAGTCTCCAAATGGAGGGATTGTTGTAACTGTAATTTTCTTCTTTGACTTTTTCAGTCTGCTTTCTCTTTTTCTCTCCCCCCCCCCTTTTTTTTTAAACAATGTGTGTATATAATTTTTATGATACAAAAGAAAAATGTTACTTTGTGCAAGGAAAAGCAGGTCCTGAGAGTGTGGTACTCATTCTGAAGGCCTCTGGGTAATTGGATCTGGGCTGTCTTCAGAAAGGAGTCCCTGGGTGGTGCTAACGGTTAGCACCCTCAGCTGCTGTGAAAAGGTTGGAGATTCGAAAGGCCTAGTGACCTATTTCTAAAAACTCAACCATCAAAAACCCTGTGGAGTACCATTCTCCTCTGACCCAAGTGGGATCACCATGAGTCACAGTCAACTCCAGGGCAGCTGGTACCAGATCTTCAGAAAGAGTTAGGCTTTGGAGCCAGAACTGGGTTCAGAAATCAGCTTTGCCACTTACTAGCTGTGATTTGGGGCAATTTGTTTTACTTGCCTGAGCCTCCATTTCCTCATCCTTAGCCAAAGATGACAGTATCTCCCTCACAGTATTATTAGGCTTAAGTGAGATAGCAGCCATCAGCACTTCCCACCCCTTTTCTGAGCCCCAGTTTGAGTTTTGTGGGCCTTTCTTCATTTCCCTGTTTCCTTGAGCCTTTCAAGGATAGGGCACCACCCAGCCAACCTCGCCTCTCATTCTTTCCTTGGGAACTCTGAGCTTCAGGAAGGCCCTTGAGTCCCTGCCAGCCTTTTGGAAAAGGCCTTGTCACAGGGAGGGCAGCATTGTCCTGTAAGAGGAAACTGTGTCAGCCCAGCTCCTGCCTGGAGCCTGGTGCTTGGGCATTTTGGTTACTAAGGGGACCCTGGACTGCTAAGTCAGAAAAAGGGGCCAGGTTTTTTCCTGTTCTTCAGCCTGCTGCCAATGTTTGAAAAGTAAACACTCCACACAGCTTAACCAGCAAGTCCTCCAGCCAGGAGTGGGAAGAAATCAAAAGCCTACTCCAGCCAGGCCACAGAGAGCCCACAAGGTCTGGTCTGTGCTGCGGGGGCCCCTCTGGGAACAGAAACAACACAGATTCTGGTCTAGAATCAGCATCCCACTCCCTGGGTCTCTCAGCCTCTGAGATGTCTCTGTGATGGCCATTGCCTCCCCGCCCCTTCTGTAATGAGCTATTTGGAAGGTCAGCTGAGGCCAAACAGATGATCTGGGTTGCAGTGGCCCTCAGCTCAGTCCTCCATGGCTGAAGTCCTTGGCTGAGTTGTTGAGCCACTCATTGCTCCTTCTCCAATGTGACTGTGTCCCAGCCTTTGAAGTGAGAGCCTAGCAGTTACCAAGAAGGAGCCAGAAGAATTTTTGTTCTCAGGTCATTTCTACTACAAGCTTTTCCAACTGACTGTGGCTATGTGTATTATAACAGTAATAATAATAATAATAACAACTGTGCGCCAGATACTATGCATACGTTAGCAGCCCAGAAGAAAGTGGAGTGAAGGCAGACACAATTGTCAATTCCATTTTATAGATGATGAGGCCAGCCAGTAGCTGTATAACCTTGGGCAATCTATTTCATACTCTCTCTGAGCCTCAGTTTCTCATCTCTAAAATTGAGATGGTGCTACCTCACCTCCAGCTATATTGATGAAATGAAAGAATCTGTGTGAAAATGCTGTGTGATCTGAAGTATGATATAAGTGCAAAACATTGTTGATGCTATTTTTGTAGCTTCCTCCTAGCTTGCTGATAGTTGTTTACCCTCTTGGAGCCCTGAACAATTCCCTCACCTTCTCTGAGTCTTAACCTCATCTGTAAAATGGGGATTGTGCTTTGTAAAACAAAAGTGGTGTATAAAACGTTGTTGTTAGGTGCCTTTGAGTCAGTTCCAACTCATAGCAAACCTATGTACAACAGAACAAAACAGTGCCCGGTCCGGTGCCATCCTCACAATTGTTGCAGCCACTGTCTCAGTCCATCAGGTTGAGAGGGATGCTGATTCACTCTCCTTTACCAGGCATGAGGTCCTTCTCCAGGGACTGGTCCTTCCATGTCCAGAGTTTGTGAGACGAAGTCTGGCCATCTTCACTTCTAAGGAGCATTCTGGCTGTGCTTATTCTAAGACAGATGTGTTCATCTTCTCTGTTTGCTGTTAGCTTTTTACCTTATAAATAAGGGAGTCAGTTAATGTGAAATACTATGTTTTGGATGGCAGAATAAGCTCAGAAGTAGGCAGTCATGTCCTTCCTCTGGAGCTCCAGGCCCGTAGTAAGCACTTCGAAAATGTTTACAGACTGATTGATAGGTTTATGGAGTAATTCCCAATGGCCTGGAAAAGTGAATAGCAGAAGGAATTGGAGGCTTCTGGTCATGTTAAGTGGAAGGATTCCATGATTCTGCTGCCCGGGAATTTTTTTTTTTTCCAACCCTAGGACCAACACGGCTTACCTCCTGCTGGGAGAAATCATCTCAGAACATTTTCTTAGGTACCAAGTTCTTTTCTAGAGGCTGGTGTTTGAGAGAGAGAAAATGTCAACCGAAAGTAGCGAGCACTTGCCGAATACCAAGTGTTTTGCGCAGGGCTGGTTATTGTGCAGTGTGAGCCAAACAGAGGAGTCCTCAAGGGGACCACAGCCCAGGGAGGGAAGCAGGCATGCAAAAGGGATGGCAAGGTTCAGAGTGACAAAGGCTGTGAGGGGGTCAGTCTCATTGAGGGTGCTTGATGATAAGGGGTCAGGTGGTACAGTGCAAAGAACGTGGGCTGTGGAAGCAGCCAATTCTGTATCACCTCAGTCACTTACTTCACCTCTCTAACCTCACTATCCTCCAGTTACATAAATGAGGGCAATAATGTGTACTTTGAGGGTTGTGGTAAGAATTAAATAAACTATGTAAGGCACAGAGAAAGCACTAATAGGCTGCCATTACATTGTAATTGTTTTCATTTTCAGCCAACTTAGGCTTTATCATCTATCAGATAGCCCCGCTATATTGCTTCTTATGTGATGCTCTTGGGTGAATTAGGAAAAGCCCCCCTCCACCCCCATTTCAGCCCCAACTTGTCTGGCTAGGCATCCTTGGGCAGTGCACATCTGCACAGACATATGCATTAGCTGTGAGGGTAGCTGACAATGAAACTGACCCCTTACACATAGGGTGACCATTTGCTCCATTTCATGCCTGTTTTCCTGGTGTAATATGCCCTGTCACAGTTCACAAGTGTCTCACTTTGGACAGTAAGTTACAGTGTTTTTCTACTTAAAAAGAATAAAATGAAGACTAAGGTTCTGAAGTTCAAGACTCAAGAGGAATGAACTTTGATACATGGTGAGGTAGGAATATTGAAGGAGATTGGGGTTGGTGAGTAGGCAGGAGAAGAGTGCAGGTAGCTTCTGGCAGGGAGTAAATCATGTGATTAAAAGTCAGAAGTTCAGGATCCACACAGACTTGTACTTCCACAGACAATGGATGGTTGGGGAGGCTCTTTTTCCTCCGTATCATCCCTTCTTCCCTTCCTCCCCTCACCAAGCATGACCACCTACTAGGTGTGAGTCTCCTTTACCCCTTTTGTTGTACCAGTGGAATAAGAGCTCATAAACAGAGCTTCTGAGCTAAATTTCTGTGGAAAGTAGAACCAAATTGAAAGTGTGACCTACCTATTGAATGCTTAAAAACAAACGTTAACATGTTAACACTAGGCTATATACCATATAGCAATGGCAAGATATGAAAAGCAGATGGGCAAGTCGCCTTTGTTATCTGAAAGGGGAATGGATTGAATGTTGGTGTCATGAGAGCCTAGCTGTAGATTAGAGTTCCTAGGGCCAGAGCTTTAGACTTTCAGAGATTCAGCTTCTGTTAAAAATAAAACTTTAAAAAAAAAAAAAAAGTAGAAAATAAATAAAATTGGCATGTGAAGATGTCTCTCACGTGCTAGCTGTGTGGCCTGGGGAATGTTAGTTAGCCTCTGTTAGTCCCTTTTCTCTCTGGAGACTTGGGGATAATCTAGACACTTGGAGTTTTCATGAGAGGTAAATGAGCTGACAAATGTGAAACAAGTAGTACTGGGCCTACCACAGAGCAAGCCTTTGTCAAATGTCACTTTTCTTCCCTAATCCCCTTCCTTGGAGAAGGCCAGGGGAAGTACCTGTGCTTCAATGACCATCTCTTTTGGATTTTTTTTTCCCCACTTGCAGAAAGTCAGGAACATGGCCCTGGATGATGTCGTGATCCTAAACGTGGACACCAACACCCTGGAAACCCCCTTTGATGACCTCCAGAGTCTCCCAAATGATGTGGTGGGTAATAAGATTTTGATATTCTGGATCTATAAGGTCATGCGATGGACATGAACATGACTTTGGTAGAGAGGGGGAAGAGAGGAGAGAGCTATGCCTAAGAACTTTAGTCAGTTCTCTGGTCCCTCTGGAAGTTTGTCTCAGTGTGGAAAGTTCAGAGGTGGTTTATTTCTTGAGCTTTGTATTGCTCTTATAACTTTGATCCGAAAGATTATGACCTGAAGGATTGAACAGCTCCTTTTTCTGTGAGAGCCTGGAGGTTGGTTTTGTTGTTGGGTGAAAATTTACAGAGCAAATTTGTTTTCTGTACAATGGTTCATACACATTTTATATTATAACATTGGTTGCAATCCCCATAATGTAACAGCTCTCTTCCCGCTTCCTCTCTGTGGTTACCTTTTCCCTGTGTCCTTTTTTCCTATGTATTGCTGCCCTCTAAGTTAGTTCCCTGTGCAAATACTGCCCTTCTGATCTCCTGTGGTTGATTGTTGTAGGGAGTACACCTACCTGGGGTAAATGTTCACCTTATATGCCTGTCTGTTGTTTGGCTGGAAGCCACAGGAGTTCAGTTCCAGGCACGAGGGTAACTAGGGTCCATAGTCTTGAGGGTTTCACCAGGCTGTATCAGACCAGTAACCTGGTCTTTTTTGAGATTTTTAGTTTTGTTCCTCAATTTTCTCCCATTCTATCCAAGATCTCCTATGCTGATCCCTTTCCCAATGGTTGACAGTGGTAGCGGCAACGTCTAGTTCTTCTGGTCTCAGGGTCATATAGGCTGAGGTTCGCATGGTCCATTAGTCTCTTGGTCTAATTGTTTCCATGTGTCTTTGGTTTTCTTCATTCTTGTTTGCTCTGGACAAGTAGAGGCCTGTTGTTCCATCTTCAATGGCTGCTTACAAGTCACTACTCACCCAAGTAGGATGTAGAACAATGTTTTTGTGTAATACGTTATCCCAGTGGAGCTTGATGGAGAGCCTGGAAATTTTGCCATCCCTGTCCATTATGTTACCATCTCCAGAACGCACAGCTCCTCTGCATGCAGCCACAGAGGGCGGGTGGGGAGGGTTTTCAGTGTGAGTGCTTCGGGGACTTGAACCTGCATTTTTTCCCTGGACCATTATCAGACCAAGCCATTTTCTTCCTTATCAGGTTATCTGCTGCCAGTGCTTTGCATGTAGCTGCATGATCCCCAAATCTATCTTTGCCACCTCAGGTCTAGACAGAATATGGCCTCTGTTTAGCAAAAAACCGTGAGTGGCCACATTTGCCACTCTAACATCTGACTACATACCTCTCACATTGCTGCTCAGAGCTGCCTCGTAGGAGGCTATTTGAAGTAGACTCTTTCTGCCCCATTGCTCATTAAGAACAAGGAGATTTGGGGTTCACAGGGAAGTATAGTTTTGATATTTCTTGTCTGGCCTCTGTGGTTCTGTCTGCTAGAAAATCTGTAACATTAGTCTGACTTCTAGAGTGACAGAAGTCTATGTTTCTGCCATGCGGTGCTCATACGGAGCTGGCGATTGTGTCCTGGTGACAGGAGAAGGCTGCTTATCTAGTGCACCCTGGTGCTTCATTGCTGCTGGGAGTCCCAGGGGCACTGTGGAGTTAAGTATTCTGAAGAGATTGTAACATGGTTTCCAAGCTCCCTGCTCAGTGCCACTGTGAGACTTTGGGGACCCTTGTGCTCTATAAAGACCCATTGCAATTGTAATGTAATTAAACAATGGCTTCATTCATTGAGTTACTCTGTGCTAGGTACTGTGTTGAGCACTTGTCACACCTGTCACTGACCTCTCATCCTTCACACATTATGAAGAAGGTATTTTTCTTACTCCCATTTTACCCCCACAGCTAGAAAGGGAAGGAGCACTCAGACCTATAGCTTTCTCTAGGCACCTTCTGCATTTAGGAGCTCATTCAGTTAGTTACATAGCCCTGTGGAGTAGGTAAGGCATTCTGGTGGCATGGTGCCTAAGGCATTTGACTGCTAACCAGAAGGTTGGCTGTTCAAACCCGGCAGCCACTCTGTACAGTCTACTTCTGTAAAGATTTACCATCTTGGAAACCCAGTGGAGGTTGCTATGAGTCAGAATTGACTTGATGGCAGTGGGTTTAGTTTGGTTTTATGGAGTAAGTATTCTCTCCTTTTCTCAGAGAGAAAAGAACCTCAGACAGTATGTCCTTTGCTGAAAAGATCATATCATACTGGTAAGAGACAGAGCTAAAATTGCAACACCACTCTGGATGGCACCAAAGCCTATAGTGCTTCCACTCTATTTATATTGCCTGCCTCTGAGGCTGAGAGAGATAACAGAAGAACTAGGAGAAATAAAAATATTATAGAAGTGTGAGAGTTTGCTGCTAAGTACATCAGGACAGGATACTTAGTTGGTATCTTAGGCCCTTGTGGCTATAATTTTAGCTACTTTGGTCCAAGGAATCTGAAGTGTTCATACTTGTTCTCTTTCAATGGGAAAGTTCTTCCTTTAAGCCACGATGACTTAATGACAAGTAACAACAGCAATAATAGGTCTTAAGCATGGACCTTGCAAGTACTAAGTGAATGTGTGGGAAGTGAATCTGAGGTACATCAAGCACAAGGAATGGCCAGGAACTCTGGGGCAGCTCGAGATGAGGGACTTGTGTTAGACTGGGTTCTCTAGAGAAACAAAACCAGTAAAGCTTATATATAGAAAGAGAAAGAGAAATTTATCTTAGGAAAATGGCTCACACACTTACAGAAGCTGGCAAGTCCCAAGTTCTTGCATCAAACATCAAGCTGGAGGCTTTTCCTGACTCATGCAGCTGCAGGGGCTGAGGAGCTCAAGGTTGGCAGGCAGTATACTGGCTTGACTCCAACGAATGACAAATCCAAGATCTCCAGGCCGAATGGTGGATTGTTCGCTCATGGACAGTTGTAGGCAGCACAACAGAATCCCAATACACAGAAGAGTGTCTCTTTTCCCAGGATGTCCATAAATATACTGGAAGCAAGCCACACCCCTAGGGAAATTCCCTTTCAACTGATTGGCTGCTCAGAACATATACATCTGATCCCATCACTGGAACAACCCACATCACAATTGCTTAAACCACACAGAATTGTGGTCCAGCCAAGTTGACACACACCTCCAACTATCACAGGACTGATGGCTCAGAAACCATGGCATGGACCTTTCTGCATACAGGCAGCATTCTGACCTTGTGCTGGGCATTGGGCAGCAAAAATGAAGCCTATTCAGTCCTTGCCTTCAAAAAGCATATTCCAGCAGGAGAAACAGACCTGTGCACTGTATATGTATTGCAGTAAAGCATAATAGCATCTGAGGGAAGGAGTGACAATGTCTTTGGGAGGACAGTAGAGGCTTCCTGAAGACAACAAACTCTGGAGGCCTTTTCAGTGATCAATGAGGTGGTCTCTGGGAACCAAAGTAATTTGGGCAATTCATTTTCTCTCTCTTAGACTCGGTTTCCTGTCTTCAAAAGAATAACCACACCTACTATTAGCATTGTTTTGGCAAAAAAAAGGAGATGGTGGTGTTATTGTCACATGACTCATAGTGACCCCATGTAACAGAGTAGAACTGCCCCATACGGTTTTCCATGCTGTAATCTTTACGGGAACAGATCACAGCCAATCACTTAACCAAAATGTCTGACCTAGTGCTTGGCATATTGTCAGTGTTTAATAAATAATACCTGCATTTGTTAATCAAAATTGTTCTTAATAATTACAGGCAGGGTTGAGGGACAGTTAATGCCCTCTATATACTGATAGTCTTCAACTTGTGCTAGAAGGGCCCCCTGTTTACAAGCTACTGTGTAGCAGGATTGAGAATGTTCCACAGCAGTGGTTTCCAGCATGAGGCTCCAGCCTCATTAAGGATTCCAAAGATTGCAGAAAAGAGGATGTGGTCCATAACATACTTATTGTATTTGAATAGAATTATAGACTTGATTCTGTAAGACTCTGTGAACTATCAAATGTCTAGAAGGAAAAATCATGTCCAGGTCATCTTTGTGTCCCTTACTCAGGACCTGGTACTTTTAGTGTATCAGCAAGTCCACAGTGGACCTTACGGTCTCCCGTTCTGCCATAGCACTTGTTTGCTACGTCTGACATATTCTCCCTCTTAACCATTTCTCAAATCTATATCCTCTTCTCCATCACTCTTAAACACCTGTTCTAAGTCTTATTTCTCTTCTGCACTGTTACCTCTAAACTAGTTTTACTGACTCCAGGCTCTTCTCCCCAGTTCTTCTTCCTTAGAGAGTGACCTTTCTCAAACATAACTATAATTTCCTTCTACTTAAAATCATTCCAGCAATGAACGTAATTTCTTTAAAGAAAAAAAAAAAATCTAAAGGCAAAAAATCCTTCTATAACTTACCATTATTTAGACAGAAGAGTCACGTTCCCTTTGTTTTGTTTTGTTTTTTTCCAGAGCTCTTCCCTCTTCCTACTGCAAACCCTATATTGTAGGTGTTTGGAACTGTTAGTAGTTCCCCCAAACTTACATGTTTTTTCCATACCATCATACTATGGATACGGTTTTCTTTTGTCATAAATGTCCTGTTCCATTTGTCTATCTCTTGCTCATTCTTCAAGACATACCCTAAACATTATGCTGTAAAAACTTTTCCTGATCTCTCCAGGGCTTTCTCTATGTCTCCACAGCCCTTCCTATTACTTGTATAATTACACTTATCACCCACCAATATGTTTTATACATGTCTGGCTTTCCCTTTTAATTGTGAGTTTTTTGGGGGCAGGAATCACGTTTTATTCATCATTGTTTCCCAAGGATCTAGCAGCCACTGGATAGATAGATGGAAGGTTGGAAGGGACATATGGATTGAGTTATTTTGGTGGATGAAATCTTGCATAACATGGCATCCATGCTGGAAATTTTGTTAAAAGGGGCCTTGGTTCTGCTTCTAGCCATGATGGAATAATTGGTACTGGATTTATCCTCCCGCCATTAAAAAGTATAAAA